ATAGAGTTTCAATTTGTAACTTGATTATGGTTACTAAAAATAACAGAATATATTTTTCTTTTTATAAATTCTTTACTGGACCTCAGACTTTGATCTTATTATACATATAATATTTACATACACACACCAGACACAATCCAATATTTATTATTTGGATTTGTGTCTGGTTTAATGTAAATTTTGATACTTTTTATTTTTTCTTTAAATATAAAAAAAACATAACATCAATTTCACTATCATATATTGATATATGTATAAATGAAATAGATATTTTGATTATGATAACAGAAATTAAAAGACTTGGGTATATTTATGTTTCTAATTGAATTTATTATGTATTTTATTAGATGGTATGATGTATCGTCTGAGAAATGTCTCACCAGAAGAAAGATCAGAGAGAATGTCTAATGTTGAATTTTATCTAAAACAACATATTTGGGACCTTGTGAGATTCAATGAAACATGACAGTACTAAGAAAAAAGAATTATTAATATTAAAATTTTAGAGTATTTGTAAGATATTAACAAAAAGTACCTCTTTTGTATATAAATAACTGAATGTGAAAACATTTATTTATATAAATATGTATTAAATTCAATGCAAATCTAAGATTTGTGTGTTGGTTTTATTTTTATTTTGAAAGTTTTATTGTAAATGTAAATCGATCTTTTATAAAATATTTCGGTTCTTTACTTAAAAACTGTAAAAAAGAAAATTGTAAACATACCTCTAATGCTTTAATGGTAAAGATGTGCTTTTTTTAACAACGCATTATGTGGGATATACAAAAGAGCAGATTTTTAAAAAGAAAATATTTTGTACATTTTTGATTTTTCGGAAGTTTTAAAATAATTTTTTTCATGCATTTTAAATTAATAATACCATCTGAAAAGTAATATTTTCCTGTGAATATATATATACTTAATATACACTTAATATAAATTTAAGTGTATTTTTTATAAGTAAAATATAATTACGAATTTTAATTAAAATTTTTTAAAATGTTATATTCATTTTAAGTATTATTTATTGCTTTTTTAAGTGTAAAATTTTAAATTTTTACACAGAAATGTTACTTAACTGTTGTATAAAATTTTAAAATAAAATTTTATGTATATTTTTTTAAAAGATTTGTTTATAAATTATTAAATTTGAATGATTGATGCGAACATTTTTTAAATCAAACATTAAAAAACGCGTATAAATTGCCATTAGTATTAAAAATCAAGTACATTTTATAAATTATATGTGAATTATACATCAAAAGGATCACTTTATTATCGAATTATTCCTTAAAATAACCAAATTTTTTTTGTTACAATCAATTGAAAAATTAAATTAAATTTATAAACCATTAAAAATGAATCTTTAAACATAATTCAGTTTACAGAAATTTGTAAATTTTATGTACAATGATATCATTTATTGCAATTTTCTATTATTTATACTTATTAAAAGCTAAAAAAAAATCACAATAAAAATATTTTATTTAATAAATTTTAATTTACTATTATTAATAAGAATTTCCTTAAATTATTTATTAAACATAATTACGCTATTTTATAAAATATAATTGTTAATAAAATGTTCATTTTTTTAAAATAAAACTAGGCGTATTTTAAAATGTTTAAATGCTTAAAAGTTACGTGTGTATGTGTGACGTCTCGTTTTCTGTCATCTGTATAAGGAAATGTTCGTACAAGTTCGGCAAATGTCGGAAAACCTGATTGGATCTTTGATAAAATTTGCACGCGACGGTTTGCTAGGATATACTATTAGATGCTCAGGTGTTGTCATGATCGCGCGCGCTCTTGCTAAATATGTCAGTTTGCACGCATCCTACATGTTATCCCGAGGAAGAAAAAGTTGAAGTTGTCAAGAATGACATTCCATAAAATTATATAAAAGAAAATTGGTTTATTTCATGGTGAGTAATAATTTATATATTAATACAAAACAATTTTTTAATTCAAATAATTTTAATAAAATGAGTTAACTAGTACAAACAAATGTAATGAATTTACTACTATTTTAAAGGTTCAGATTCCTTTATATAAAGAGATGTGAACTAATTTTGATACTTTTAATAAAGGGTTGTTTCTATATTTACAATGTTAAAACAAAATTGCTACACGTAATTCTTTTAAAAACATTTTATTTGTTTTAATTTATATCAAATTTATTCGATTTATATTCATATATTTTTTGACTTAAACTTTGAATTATTTTCATTACTTAAATAATATTTTTGAAGTTATATACGTGCTTTTATAAGCATAATCGAAAAGTGTCCACTTATATTATTCGTAACATAGGTGAATAGTGATTCAATCTTGTGTGTGTGTAATGTATATATAGAGTCTATATTTATATAAGCTGTAATGAAAGCGTTCTATTGCAATAATAGAAAGTTTAGAGAGATTTTAAAATGTTCATACTTTTTACTGAAATTTTTTAAACGATTAAAGAAGAGTGACCACTAAAAATCTTTACGCTTAGATGCAAACTTCCTGTATATCGTATCAAAGGTTTGTACCTTCGCACGCTCGTTAGAGCACAGCAACAACAATACTTGTATCAATCAGAGCGAGAACAAAATCGGATGTTAAGGTGGGCTACTGTCTGAACTGAATTATGATTTTATAGACCATGAAATCGCCTTCGTTTGGATAACTCTTTGTTTATGTTTGTATAAACCATTGTTTTAAATAACTTGATATTGACAGGCTCTATACGCTGTTTATCTGATGTCACTTCACTTTCCTATTCAAAGCAAGAAGAGAAGTTTAAAATATATATATATATATATAGATCTATATACATAAATTCACGGTTTGTGATTAAATCTACAATCGACCACAAAAATTTACGCTAGGAATGAAATCAACCTTGAATTTACATGAAAATATTTTGAGTTTTTCTCAATTTTTTTTTTAAAGTAAATATTTACATTTAGGATATATTTTACCGTGTTTAAAGCTTATAAATCTGTTTTATTTTAATTCAAAATAATAATTTGGAGATCGTATTAACAGATGTGATCTCGAGTATATTATTTCTTGAATCAGGAAAACAAAAAAACAAACATGGACGGATATTTTTATGATTCATTATTTACTACGTAAGTCTGAAATATGTAAATAGTTTAAGTATTTTACATATATGCCAATAAAATAAAACCTGTTATTCTACTACATAAATAAGTTGTTTCGAATGTTTTGTTTTATTCTTTAACATGTATATAAAATTAAAAAGTACTATTAAATATATAAATGCTTCAATCGAGGGAAAGGAAGAATCGTGACAAGTTGGTTTTTAACGAAAAAAAAAAGGATATTTTTATCGAAGACAATTCGTGCGATATAAGGTCATCAACCCGAAGGATCCATTTCTAACGACCTTGAACTTAAACAGAAGTTTTCCCCCTTTTACTAAAAAGTATTGTCATCGGTAACGTATAGACGATGACTCAAAACCATTTCCGGACGAGTCATATCTAATTTTATATGAAGTAATAGAGAGAAGGACACGTATTATTACGAAAACACTAAAAAAAAAAAGTCTGAATTTTTTGTTTTTAATTTAACATTTTAAGAACCGTATCAAAATTAGTCACGTTTGGGTGTTTATCTTGTCTACTCCTTAACTTCCGCAATGCAGAAGAGTAGAAAAACCTACACTGTGGTACTTAAACACCTTGAAACACCTACTGAAAAACTGGAAAAGTCGAACCTCCCACATTTATACTTGCGAAGAATCTTAAAAAGAACTGTTTACTGTTAAATCTGTAAAGTTTAATGTAAAGTTATATTTAAGCAATAGGTGCGAGACAAGTTTCTTTTTTTTTTTTTCGTCAATTTTTAGGGTGTTTCCCCAATCTTATCTTAATTGAGTGAGGTAATTGTTTCTTTACAGGATATACGCCCTGTAGAGCAGAATTAAAAAGACAGCTATTATTATAATTCCGGAAATAGAGACAATGATTTAAAATGAAGTTCAATTCCTAATTTCGTCATTACGCCATTCCTCTTTTGTTAATAATAAATATATTCTTAACTGTTTAAGAATACGTTTTATTCCTTATACTTTAAGAAATATGAATCTCGAAATTCATCCGAAATAGAACTAGGTGGGTATGACCTAGTTTAACTAATATATCGTTAATATCTTAAGTTGGTAAGTCCTTTAAGCTAGAAGATCGAAAAAAAAAATATGTATTTCTGTTATATATAAGTGAGATAATGTTTACTAATCAGTGTTTAACGATCCGTAAGAGGGTCCTAAAGCATATTCCTAAATAATATCACATTTTATATTTGTTTTAAAAAATAAAATACTAATATCTTTAGTGTACTAAATGTGAAGTTTGTCAATCGGTAGGACGCGATCTACCAAAAAATTAGTAAAGAATTCTTGAATAATAATTTAAGAAAGAGCTAAATGACGATTTTTAATTAAAAATTAAACATATAAAGTGTGTAATAGTTTAATTTTAAGCTTTTATTCGTTTGAATTAGCATTTTTTTTTTTTAAATCTACTTTATAAAATATAAATTATACCAAAAAGGTAACAATAGTATAATGTTACTTTATAATGTAATTTATTTTTTAAATTGCAGAAACAAGTTTTATTTGCGTAAATTAGTAGCAGAGTGAATAGGTAAAAGAATTTCGAAGGACAATGTTTCAACGTTGCGGTTGGCGGTCTGTTGTTATTGTATTGGATATGGGAACGTTTGTATTCTTTCCTATGTGAAATTGTATAAATATACTCCGCCGAACGTGAACCAGAAAAATTGTATTCTTTCCCGCTGGTTATCCTTAAATCTAAGTACACCCAACCTTATCGGAGACTTTTTTGATGACGTAATACAAGAAAGACGTATAATTGGTTAAAAAAACTTTTTTGAAATCCATCCAGATTTTCAAAATATCATAATCCATTTTAAATTACCAAAATACACAGGCTCTATTAAGAAAAAAAAAATTTTTTTGAGCGATTTCTAATTTTTCTAACAGCTTCACCCATTTTAAGTGACGTAATCCGCCTTTCAAATTAAAAATTCATATTATAGTTAACGCCGTGACGTCACTTGTCAGATGATTTATGGAAGTAGATTAATTTTCTTATAAGTCGCTTTAAAAATTTTCCTAAATATAGAAACATAATATAATATTCATATAAAAAGTATTTTAAAATTATTTTTCTTAAATAAGTTACCCGACGACGCATGCGTAATAGATGAAAGAAGCAGACGATAGTTTTTTTTCTTGATGACGTCTGCTTTTAATCTCGTTCTTTTTATTTTATTTTTTATTTTTGTCCGTCTTCGACCGAAAACTGGATTTATCCGCTCATTTTTCTTCTCGTTTATCAAAAGGATGTCATTAATATTTAAAATCAGCGATTTGGGACACGCCTCGAAGAGAGTTGAGTCACGAAAGTCTTCTTATCGGAGAATTATCCATTGTCGATTTGTGACGGAAATACTCCCCGAGATAGAAGAGTATTCGTTATTATACGGGAATTTTTATTCATTTATTAATAATAATACGAAATTCACATTTGAAAATGATCTTCCTGTTGATTGATGCCGTACGATTAGGTAAGATTACGATGAAATTATAATTGAATTTTTTTTAAATCATTTATTTTATACGTGAATGGTTAACGAATTTTCTATAAATACAATTTTATTTTTATAAAATTGTACTTATAATCCATTGTTTAATTTATTATACTTTAAAGCGGGGATTCTCCACCAGGGTAAAAAAAAAAAAATGTTGAAAGGGGTGAATGGAAAAATCAGATACTTATTACACTTTTTTGAGAATTTCAGATAATTTCCAAATAAGTTATGTGGGGAAATCATTAAGTGATTTAATAATTTACTTGATATATTATACGGGAAGTGACAAAAATGTTATGGGAATCGACTGAAAAGAATGTTTTCTATATGGAGTCAATGCAAGAAAAAGATTGGGAATCTTCGCTGGTCATCTCTGTTTGGCCTTAAAGCAAACATGTAAGAAAGTTATTATTATTACAAAACAAGAGAAAACATGTTTTACTACAAAATTTTATATTATAAAATATTAATGTAATTAAAAAAAACATTAAATGTTTGCTTTAAGGCCAGATAGATGGGATTTTCGCGGAGTTTTCTAACTAGATCTGGTTAAAGACCTTTACGATTTATTGCTAGGCCTGGTTAAAAAGTTATCTATAAATTTCGGCTATTAGTTCGGGTCTCGAAAATAGAAAATCTTCAAAATTTTGTTTAATTATATGAAAGCGAAATAAACAATTAATTTATTTCGCTTTTATTTGTTTTTATTGTTTTATTGACTTTATTTATCTTTCGAAAAAGGATTTTCGTGATTAGCATTTTTCAGGCCTCATAGCTTTCTCGGTTCGTCTTTAATTATTTTTGAAATTAATGAATTAATGATTAATGGTGATTAATTAATGATCAATGAACGGACTTATTTCATTCTTCCTTCTATGGAAGGACTCTTAAATTCTCATTATGGAAAATATTTCTGTATATTTTATAGAACTTTAAACGTACCAGTATTCTACTGTATATTTAAAATTCTAAAAGTCAGATATAAATTAGGTTTATTTATCCACATTTAATTAAACGATATTTAAAAATGTATTCATCTATAGAAGTATAAGCAATATATTTTTATTAGGCTATATATATATATTTATATAAATAAAATTAAAAATGTAAAAATTTGTTTACTTTGAATATTTCATGACGTTCTTTTGTTGTTTAAGATGATTTGAGATCGATTTTTCTCGTCAATAAATGCATTCATTTCGTTTTTCTTTTTATATATTTCTAAACTGTTAGATATTTATATCTAAAAGTCTCAATTATATAAATGTTTTTGTTTTTAAATGTACCAGCATATTTAAGAAAATAAACAACATGCCATTTGTATTTAATTAAAAATCAAATAATAAAGACGTATAGTAAGTTTCTGTTTTATTGTTTATCTTACGCCACTAAATCGTATTTAATTACAGTATAAGTGTTATTAAGCGCTGTTAAACGACGCTTAAGAGCCTATGGCGTAAGGGGCCCAGACCAGGCCCTCGGCACTGTTTCTCATATTTATGCTGTTTTGTTTCGACAGAACAGAACAGTATAAATCGGAAATTTTTCAATTATATATGAAAAATATGTGTATACAGTTGAACCTGTCTATCTCAAACATGTTTATCTCGAAATTTATTTCCCCCCTGCATTTTCAGCCTAAATTCAATATATATTCCATGTTTATCTCAAGTAATTTTCTCTCTAAACCTTTATATCTCAAATTATGGACTCAAATGTCAATTAAAATTTCAAAACTCTGTGACTACATTTCGATAACACAAATTGTAGTAGAGAAACAACTCTTGCAATACAGTGCATTATTGCAATTAATGCTGCTTTTCTTTGATTGGTTACGAGTTTGGCTTGCGTCTTATTGGTTAAAGAAAGTCAGACGTCACAAACTATTGACAAACTTTCTGTTAAGATATGTCAAAAATGTTTTATTGATATTTATATCTAATACAGGTATGTATTATACTTGCTAATGTATTAATAATGTAAATTAATACCTTACCTCAATCAAACCTATTACTGTTTATTGTGTAAGAACCTCTATATCTCGAAACCTGTCTATCTTAAATTTTTTCTTGTTTCTGTGCGATTCTAGGTAGACAAGTTTATATGTATTTATATTTGTGTTTGTTTTTGATAGGAACAATTAATTTTAAATAAATGTCTACTATTTATTTTAGACCGCTTTTACAGTTTATTTTTTCTGGTTTCACTTACCGCTGCAAAATGAAACACTTTACACTGTATTATAACAGCATATTATAAAAAAATAATAATAAATTTATGAATAGTTTTTGCAGCTTTTTAGTTTCTGAAAATTCTTCATTGTATTTACGAAAAATAATGAAAAAAGCAACGCTGTCTGATTGTAGTTACCCAATAATAAGTTTATGATGATAAAAAATATATGACATCACTTATACCAAATATATTTAACAAAGATAATTAATTTGAAATTTTAATTTGGTGGACGTATATTTATATTATTTAAGATGATTGAGGTAAAACCTGACCACGTAAGATTAACATGCTTTTGAATAATGATATGATATAATAGACTATGCATAAATTTTTATCGTTTCTGCAGTCGTACTAACAGCACTACATTTAAGGTAAATTTATTAATTAATGCTCCTAGTTCTTTAAATATTATTTTATTAGTATTAGTCTATTGTGACTATAATCTATTAATAGGACTTATTACACTGATTTAACTTGAGGATGAAATTAGAGAGATTGAATCAATCTATTGGTTCAAAAGAATAAACTTCTTTTACTTGCATCTATTAGGTCTGGTTAAGTTTTAAAAGACAGTGCATGGAATCACGGATATCGATCCATAAGGGACATATCCCCCAATATTTTTGTAGCGGCAAATTTCCCCTCCCAAGGTATATCTTTTTATATCATACTACGAACTTAGAAGTAGAAATGATTACTGTACACCAGAGGTTTTTTTAACACATCCTTATTTTTTCATCCATTCAAAACCCGACAATGAGAAATTTCTTTACTCATTATCATTGACCCTATCCTTCAATATATATACAGACCGACGTTGCTGTATGGAATATGAATGCTTAGCCAAAGAGACAAGCAGATTTCAAGGAAATTCTATTTGCATGGACTATTTGTAATAAGTTAATTTCAAAAGTAAAAACAGAAAAATACTTAGACTATATAACAAGTCAATTCGCGATCCATTGTAACTTACCAATTTTGTTTTGTTCAAAAAATTTGCTGGAATAAGTTTAATCTATGATATTAATGCTCATCTTTTACCAATTTATCTTCTTCCAGATTAAATGCAAGTTAGTTTGAACAAATAATGCTCTTGTCTTGTCGAACGTAATGAGATTAGTGTTGTTCTAGTTTCGAAACAGTTCAGTTAATTAGTTCTTTATGCCATACGTTTAAACCTTGGAGAGTTGGCCAGGTTTAAACTTACACTTGGCCAGATTTATCACATACCAGGTGAAACCCTAGCAGAACTATTTCCTGTATACTGAGAAACAAGCATTCTTGGCCAAATTTACTCGATTCAGAATGAAAGTGGAAGGAAGTGATGTATCAATACTATAGAAATGTAATGTTTTCTAACAATTTAAAATTGACAATTTAAAAATTTTGTTTAAATTCCTATAACATCAAAAATGTGAACGGGCTAAGCCATAAGCATTGGAGAACCCTTTACGATATTTTGCTTAAAATTGCTAGTTATTCCGCTGCTCATATTGTTAGTATTTTAAAGTATATATTTGAATTTTTTAATACATTTTAATACATATCGACTAAAGGTTTTATTTAAAATAATAGTAAGATAAATAGATATTTAAATAGAAAATAATTTAAATTTTAACAGATAAGGTTTTTTAATTTTATAGCAGCAATACTAAACGAACAATTTAAAATATTAAATTTAAGCTACTTTCTTGATATGACAGAAATTGGAGCGGGTCAAATTTTAATTGTAAGGTCTTAGAAACATATTTCTATTAATAAATTAAACTTGACCTTGTTAAATTCGGCGTTACGACTGGAATTTTATATTCAGAGGATAAACAGCCTGATTCAAGTACTATGAAGAATCGAATCCTTGACCTAGTCTCTGTCATTATGTCTGAAGAAAACAAAGGTGAAAGGTTAAAGTATAACGAGGCCAAAAGCTAGTTTTTATTTATGTGAACTATTTAATTGTGAATTACATTTATTCGTAAAAGAACATCAACATTTTTCTGCACAAAAATAAAAAATTATTCTTTTTTTAATTTTTCTGGATGCGGTTTTTTTTAATCAAAATTGTCCCAATGACTTTGCATAATTTTCACTCTAAACAGGTGTGGTGACTGATGAGAAAAGGTCGACATGTCTTATAACAGAAAGAACATGTTCTTTATTTAGGTCATGGTTTTGAAAAAAGTATCATTTGGTTGTTTTGAAAAATGAACCGACACTATGAACTCATGATTACAAAATAGATGGGAACATGAATAGTGTTGTGGCAAAGAAATGATATCCTCCGCAAACAAAAAAATCATAGAAATGCGATACGGTTGCTTTAATTTGGCAGGATATCCTTTGTAAGAGTGAAAGTACTGAAGCCAATAATCATTGTTCACATTTTACCATTCAAATGAAGACAGTGTAATGATCTTTGCTTATATTTTCCATAGAAAGGTAAGGATAAAGCGCATTTAAAAGTTTTGCAAGTAAAGTATTATTTAATTTCCTCTCAGTTCCGATTTATTTTCAAAAGAAAATTTAGGTCTTAAATATTACCTTGGTTTAAGCTTAATTAGTTTAAACTAATAAGTTAATGCAATTAATTTTTAAAAAATGATTTAATATTGTTAAAACATTTAATTGATATTTCATAATTATATATATATATATATATATAGATTTTAGTAATTTATGTTTATCTTTAGATTGCCTGTGATACTTTTTATTATTAGTTGATTTTTGAATTAGTTAAATAAACTTAAACTATACAAAAAATATTTTTATAGTTCAGTTTTTATTTTCTGATTATTATTTATATTACGTTCAAAAGCATTCATCCACTTTTATAGATAAGTATTAAACAGTTTTGAAATAAGCTTATAATGAATAGCCTATATTTTCAATTGAAATGATATGAAAAATTACATAAAATATTATTTCTATTATGTGTAGCTATTTAAAAAGTCCCGCCCTTCATTTTAAATTTTCTCGTGTTTTTCTTACATTAGCGATTGAACTAGTTAATCATTACCAAAGATGAGGAAAGTACGCCCAACATTATTTATCAAAAATTACTGGTTTTGTCTTGAATAATATCTATAAATCAAATAATTCAATATCGAAAATGGGCCACGCCAATATTGAAGTCGATGCTTATCAGCTTTGATTAATTTTAAAAGTAGAACTATGAAGTTACAGATCTAAATTAATGGAATAACATCTCAAATTAATTATAGTATACAAAATTTTATACAATTACTGTATATTTTTAGATAAAGAAGTCTTCATAATGCATTGTTTGATTTGAAAATAAAAAGTAAAGGTAAGTAAAAATTAGAGATATCTCAATTATATCTTGGAAATATGAAAAGTTTATAAAACATTTCTATTTATAGGCTATGAATGAGATTATTTTAGTTACTTTTTACATATTGGTGGTCATTACAAACTGTCAAGAATTCGTATCAGAATCGTGTAGTGAATCAGTAGATCACGTAGATGTGCTTCCAGATGCCGACGTCATTATTGGAGTAATTCTAAACGTTCATCACCCTGGTCAAGGTGTTTATGGATGTGGCCAAATAAATCCAGAAGGACTGGCCATATTTGAAGCAATGAAATGGTCTGTTTCTATACTTAATCAAAATTCCGGTTTAGTAAATGGTTTTCAAGTTTATGAATCTTTCATACCCGGAATTAAGATAGGCAAGTATCATATCCAGCGTAGGAAATAAATAAATGACATCTAAATTAAAGTATTAAAAGAAACGTTAAAAAATAAATTATAATTTTCTGATAGGATTGAGAGTCTATGACAGTTGTAGTCATCAAGATTTAGCCGTTCAACAATTGACAAGTCTTTTCCCAATATTAAAATCGGGACCTAATTCTTGCAGTTTTGTATCAAATATCACCATTCCTATTTTAGGTAATCAAACTTAATTTATCTAAAAAAAAACATTTAATTTATTTCAAATTTGTAAAATATTGTATTTTAATTGGTTAATTTTAGGAGTAATTGATGAAGCAAACTCACTGAAGAGGATTGAATTAGTTGAGTCCATCCAGGAATATCATTTAATTCATCAACCTCTCCAATATTCTTATCTCTCAGCAGATTATTTGGCACAGGCAAGTTTTCTGTTAAAGTTATTACTAATATTAGTATTCTATCATTAGCGAAAGTTGGCTGAAGGTCAAATTTTAATTGTAAGGTCTTAGAAACATATTTCTATTAATAAATTAAACTTGACCTTGTTAAATTCGGCGTTACGACTGGAATTTTATATTCAGAGGATAAACAGCCTGATTCAAGTACTATGAAGAATCGAATCCTTGACCTAGTCTCTGTCATTATGTCTGAAGAAAACAAAGGTGAAAGGTTAAAGTATAACGAGGCCAAAAGCTAGTTTTTATTTATGTGAACTATTTAATTGTGAATTACATTTATTCGTAAAAGAACATCAACATTTTTCTGCACAAAAATAAAAAATTATTCTTTTTTTAATTTTTCTGGATGCGGTTTTTTTTAATCAAAATTGTCCCAATGACTTTGCATAATTTTCACTCTAAACAGGTGTGGTGACTGATGAGAAAAGGTCGACATGTCTTATAACAGAAAGAACATGTTCTTTATTTAGGTCATGGTTTTGAAAAAAGTATCATTTGGTTGTTTTGAAAAATGAACCGACACTATGAACTCATGATTACAAAATAGATGGGAACATGAATAGTGTTGTGGCAAAGAAATGATATCCTCCGCAAACAAAAAAATCATAGAAATGCGATACGGTTGCTTTAATTTGGCAGGATATCCTTTGTAAGAGTGAAAGTACTGAAGCCAATAATCATTGTTCACATTTTACCATTCAAATGAAGACAGTGTAATGATCTTTGCTTATATTTTCCATAGAAAGGTAAGGATAAAGCGCATTTAAAAGTTTTGCAAGTAAAGTATTATTTAATTTCCTCTCAGTTCCGATTTATTTTCAAAAGAAAATTTAGGTCTTAAATATTACCTTGGTTTAAGCTTAATTAGTTTAAACTAATAAGTTAATGCAATTAATTTTTAAAAAATGATTTAATATTGTTAAAACATTTAATTGATATTTCATAATTATATATATATATATATATATAGATTTTAGTAATTTATGTTTATCTTTAGATTGCCTGTGATACTTTTTATTATTAGTTGATTTTTGAATTAGTTAAATAAACTTAAACTATACAAAAAATATTTTTATAGTTCAGTTTTTATTTTCTGATTATTATTTATATTACGTTCAAAAGCATTCATCCACTTTTATAGATAAGTATTAAACAGTTTTGAAATAAGCTTATAATGAATAGCCTATATTTTCAATTGAAATGATATGAAAAATTACATAAAATATTATTTCTATTATGTGTAGCTATTTAAAAAGTCCCGCCCTTCATTTTAAATTTTCTCGTGTTTTTCTTACATTAGCGATTGAACTAGTTAATCATTACCAAAGATGAGGAAAGTACGCCCAACATTATTTATCAAAAATTACTGGTTTTGTCTTGAATAATATCTATAAATCAAATAATTCAATATCGAAAATGGGCCACGCCAATATTGAAGTCGATGCTTATCAGCTTTGATTAATTTTAAAAGTAGAACTATGAAGTTACAGATCTAAATTAATGGAATAACATCTCAAATTAATTATAGTATACAAAATTTTATACAATTACTGTATATTTTTAGATAAAGAAGTCTTCATAATGCATTGTTTGATTTGAAAATAAAAAGTAAAGGTAAGTAAAAATTAGAGATATCTCAATTATATCTTGGAAATATGAAAAGTTTATAAAACATTTCTATTTATAGGCTATGAATGAGATTATTTTAGTTACTTTTTACATATTGGTGGTCATTACAAACTGTCAAGAATTCGTATCAGAATCGTGTAGTGAATCAGTAGATCACGTAGATGTGCTTCCAGATGCCGACGTCATTATTGGAGTAATTCTAAACGTTCATCACCCTGGTCAAGGTGTTTATGGATGTGGCCAAATAAATCCAGAAGGACTGGCCATATTTGAAGCAATGAAATGGTCTGTTTCTATACTTAATCAAAATTCCGGTTTAGTAAATGGTTTTCAAGTTTATGAATCTTTCATACCCGGAATTAAGATAGGCAAGTATCATATCCAGCGTAGGAAATAAATAAATGACATCTAAATTAAAGTATTAAAAGAAACGTTAAAAAATAAATTATAATTTTCTGATAGGATTGAGAGTCTATGACAGTTGTAGTCATCAAGATTTAGCCGTTCAACAATTGACAAGTCTTTTCCCAATATTAAAATCGGGACCTAATTCTTGCAGTTTTGTATCAAATATCACCATTCCTATTTTAGGTAATCAAACTTAATTTATCTAAAAAAAAACATTTAATTTATTTCAAATTTGTAAAATATTGTATTTTAATTGGTTAATTTTAGGAGTAATTGATGAAGCAAACTCACTGAAGAGGATTGAATTAGTTGAGTCCATCCAGGAATATCATTTAATTCATCAACCTCTCCAATATTCTTATCTCTCAGCAGATTATTTGGCACAGGCAAGTTTTCTGTTAAAGTTATTACTAATATTAGTATTCTATCATTAGCGAAAGTTGGCTGAAATAGCAAATCGAAATCAGATATCCATGAAAACCTGAATAGATCATTAAAAAACAAAAAAAAAAGAAAAATCCTTAATAGCAAGTTGTAAAGCGGTTTCTATAAAATATATTTACATCTCAAAATTATTATTATTTTTTAAACATTAACCAGATCTTGTTATTAAACTTGAACATTATTGCAATCGTTTTTTTTTAAATATTTAAATGATCAGTTAGAATTTGTAAAAACTAAATTTCTAAGATTTACATCTTAAAAATTTAGTTTTTATTTAGAAATTTAGAAATGCTTTAACAGTTTAGTGACATTTACTTTATCATTTTGATACAGTGCTTGTTTATAAGTATATGCTTTTGATCCATTGTTAATTTTCTTCCAGTAAAACTTTATTTACAAACTACGAATTATCTTGATAAAATATGGATAATAATTCTATTCTATTTCTAAAACTTGTTCCTCGATGATAAAAAATATAACATTGTTTACGTAAGCTTACTTGTTTTGTTACATTTGTATCAAGCTAACACAAAAGTTTACATAAATTATTTTAGAGTAGATAATTATAATAAAATTAATAAGGCTTGGCATATTTTCTTATTTGGATATGACATATTTGTATTGATTTATTATGATTTAGATCAGGGTTCTTAAAACATATATATCTGTGACTGTAAATCATAATATCATATTCTGTTTGTGTTTTCATAGATCTAATATATTTAGTCTATTACTTTTTAATTTTTATATTAAAATTGAGTTAAATAGTTAAAGAATGTGTGACTGAAATCAATAAGATTATATACCAGTATCTGATCAAAAAAATATCTTTGTGTTTTAGGTCATTTTATGAAGTTTTAGTGTATCTTATGGATACACGCTTGATTCCGTCTATCGACATTAATCGATAAATTTAATTTATTATAGCAAAACTAAAATTTACTATTGGACATTTAGCATTCTTTAATTATTTCAACAAACTTAAAATTATGAAATCGTTCGGTAAATCAGATTAACAAATATTAATTATTGAAATTTGATTTTAATAATAAATTTATTTTTATATGTTCTAAACATTTTATTTTTTTTTCAAATTTATAGTTAAATAAACTTTTTTTAATGTAACAGGTATTGGCACGAATGGCTGAATTTCTGCAATGGGAACGAATTGCCATTTTGTACGAAAATAATGACTACAGTGTCAGGATTATGAGAAAACTAAGCAATCAGATGTGTGTGAAATCGGTAACGGTTTTGCCCGAGGAAGTGAAACTATTCAAAAAGATACTTGTCTATCATGCAAGCAGAATGAAAGCTCATACAGGTATTATTGTAATTGCTCAGGGAAAAGCATTGGAATTTCTTTTGCATACTATGACTGAAATGATAGATGCAACATCTCGAATGCAATGGCTATTTTCATCGCTACCCCCAATTAATAATTTAATAAAATTGGCAGAACTAATGAATAATACTAGAGTTTATTCAGTGGCACCGCATCCATCTGAAATTAAAGAATTGGAAGATTATTGGTCTCGTTTGAAAGATCCTGCGCAAGAATTCAACAATAGAGACGATATATGGTTTCAGGAATATTTAATGCAGCGCAAAGGATGCCGAAATTGCAACAATATCGCAGTTCATGATACCGAATCAGAAGTATTATATCGTACTTCTCGAGTTTTATCTGCTATTAATAATATTTTTTCATTTGCTCATGGATTAAGATCTGTGTGGATTGATAAATGTAATTCTACTGCCGGATTTTGTGAAATGATTCATCATACAAGTAGAGAAGAATTTTTTTCTAACTATTTAAACAAATTAGAATTTCAACATAGTGTCATCGATCGGAGTCCTTCAGGACTGGATGGACGTAAAAGTGGAAGTATTCCGTTTGGAAAACTAGAAAATTGTAAATTATCTCTTAATAGATATATTGTCAAGAATGAAAATAAATACGAACAAGTCTTTTATCAAAAGGTAAGCAGAATGTTGTTTAAGTATTTTAATGTTTAAACATAAGCGAAAGTATAATAGAGTGTAAAATAAAATGTTATAAAAATAGTAAACCAGATAGATTACCCCATAATTTCACATGGGTAGTATGGATCAGAATACCGTTTCTTGTATCTCATTTATGTGTGTCGACCCTAGTGAATGTTAGGCTGCTCGTAATGAGCGTAATTGTGGCCGTTCCTATGGCTTACTGTATATGGTGTTTCGTGTTATTTTCATTAATGGACAGTGTCAGCCAACCGTTGATGGAAATAAACTAATCAAACAATTTTTATTGTTTCTTTCTTTTCAAGGAATGAAATTATTTTTAATAAAGATTGTTTTGTCGACAAATGTTTAATTTTTTGGCTTTAATTATGCGTAACGAAACCATTTATTTTCATTGAAGTGACATGAAACTATATTTAACAATAATTTAAAAATTAAAAAATTACGTTTATTATATTATAGTAAATTGCTATTTTAACATTATAGTAATTGTTTATTGTTAACTTTATAATAGTTGTTACTTTAAATAGTCATAATCTCACTTTATATGACAATAATAAAACTTACAAATTTATGTATAAAAATTATTCAATTTTTTGAATGTGTATAAAAATATGTTTATTGTAAGTAATTTTTTGGTAAAATATACAACAAAATATTTTGCAATACAACAATATAACTATCTAATATTTGTAATAAATTACAGATGAATTTTATAATTGATTCAATATAAATATAAAGATACAAGTTAATGTTTGTTTTACAATTATATAATTTCTGATAAATAATTTTTAACCATTGATGTAATTGGAAATAAAAGCGATTAATATTTAATTTGTTTAGCATTTTTTATTATGTGCGAAGTTTAATGTTCAATTTAAAATAAAATATTTTTTTAAAATATAAATTTTAAATAAATTTACATTGGAGTTTAATTGAAATTACATTAATTTATTAAAATAATGAGTTAATTAGTAGCGTTTACGTAATAAACATTATAGACAGCCTATATAATTACTGTATTCAACTATTATAGAATATTCAAAGTACTCTATTGGATTTATAAACATTTAACAATTTATTTCAAACATTAATAATTAAACGATTAATTCAATAGCCAAGAAATTGATGCAATAATAAAAGAATTAACAAANGGAGGCGGCAATTTTTGTCCTTGTGACAACGCCTGTATTAAGAACTAAAAAATAAAAGAATAAAAAATAATAAAGACATTAAATTGTATATATAAAGTATATATTGAAAGTAATTTAAAATAGAAAAACAACCAATCTGAAGCCTCAATTCTGTCGATAAATATAATCATTTAATTACTTTAATTATTTACTTCTATTTTATTTAACTTGTTTAAAATTTTCATATGCCATTAATGCAAAAAAATTTTCTCAGAAATTAGCATCAAATATACACGCACTGTATAATAACATACTAATAGTATTTGAAATGTACTTTAATAAGTAATTTAATTTTATAGATTGCTTTGTATCAAGATGATGACGTTATTAACTACGATACTGATTTTCGTACTATATCATCCACATGTTCAAAATTAGGATGTGGACATTGCACTAGGTAAGAATTAAATTATCTCAGACTATTAGACTATTGGATCGACTCCTAAATTTTGTACTATTGCTAAATTTTCTGAACTATACAGAAAATTAATTATATAGTCAGTTGATAAATATAGCAGTTAGTTTATCAACCAATGCAAAAGGCACCATAAAATAATCACTCAAGGTGCCATCTGTTATTCTGAAATAGCACTTTTTACAATATAATTAAACTAGTGTTTTCCCCCCTCTGCTTTATATAATTTTCTTATGCTGATTGCTAAGTTCTCATAACTTTTCGTTAAAAGCTCGTTTTATTTGAAACTGACTATATCATTGGTTTTTCTTATCCAGCTATCAATATGTTCAAACCGTTTCATCAGGCAACGTGCCCTTTGTAATACGTAAGAATTGTTTTACAAGTGCTTTACAATTTTTCATGCTAAACTACATTTGTTAATATTTTGTTATATGAAATACTTTGGTTATCGAATGCATTAATGTTTAAATTAAAATGACTCTTTCTCTTAAATTAGACTGCAGTACACTGGTCAATTTGAACCGGTTCAATACAACGACACTTGGTTACTCAATATATGCAAAAAACCATTTATAAGAAATTGTGTGCGCTATTTAATACCATTGGAATGTGTAATTACAGTTTATAATATTGATAAAATACTGTATATTAATTCATTTAAGTAAATGTATTTTTAATTTTTTGAATTATACAACTAGGATATTAGCAGTCCATCCTGGTTATTAAATTGGACCAATTTATTATAATTATAGTAACACTCTTTAATTTGTTTTGCAAGTAACATGTCTTATTGGCAATGCTTTCCATTTGGTTGACTAATTTCGAATCACTAAACATAATTATGTTTATTTTTTTTGTTTTTTATAAATATTGAAAATTTATGTTGCAGTTTATTTATAATAACCACACTTTTATGATTAAAAAGAAAGTAGTTTATTATCATTGCTTGTAATCTGCTTTCTGAAAACAGTTTTAATCCGTAAATTTCCAGAATTACGGAATAATAATAATAATAATAAATATGAGTTGTGAATGTAATGAAACATATTTTAAGAATATCTATTTTATATTTAGTTGTTACTTTTGAAAAAATTAATAAATAATACTAGATATTAATGTGAATTGATAAATCATCGCATTACGTATTTGCCAAACATTTAACAGTTCCATGAACTTTTATTTTAACCAACAGAAAAGTAGAAACTGAGTAATCAAGTGATTTCAGTAAAATGTAAAAACTGGTATTTCTTCAAAATAGTTATTAAAAATCTTATTCAAATCTTTTTAATTTACCTGTAATTTACTCCTATTATTTATACAATAACAGTCAAAACACGGCTCATGTGCTGCAAAGCAGTTCTCGAATGATAATAGTGCAGCTCTTACAGAACATCTAAACACTTAAAAATTTTTAAATACATAAAGTAGTGACATCTTTAAAAACGAGAAAAGTAATATGTTAGGATGTTTACAATCGTTAGATCTAGTATATTGCTTAAATACAATTAATAAATATAGGGGAGACCGGGGCAAGATCGGCATGTTAAGCTTTACTTAAATTTTGTGTAATAAATACTGCTGTAAACTGAAAAAAAAGCTTTGCATATTGTCTATTGGAATGTTATCTTACTATAGAACTGGTTAAAATCAGTTTGGAAATAAAAATAATTAAAATAATTACAACTTTACAAGAAGAGAGAAATTGACGAAGTTGCCCCGGGTATAGGGGCAAGATCGGCAACTTCTCTCTTTTTGTAAAGTTGTAATTATTTTAATTATTTTTATTAAAGTTGCCCCTGGTATAGGGGCAACAGTAATGGGGCAAGATAGGCACGTATATAAAATTATGTTATTAACAATGTATAAGTTGGAATTCACTATTAAAACAAAGAAATACAAATCCAACACCCATTTAATATTATTACAACGAAATGCAAGTTCAAAGACATATATACATGAATAACAAATGCAAACATGTTTTCATTTATCATCTGTTTGATTTTTATCCTTTGCTTCTAATGTGGCTTTATGTTGCCGATCTTACCCCGCTAGTCATGATTTCGAAACATTAAGTACAACCCTGAGAACAGAATGCCAAGCCACGATCTGGCCACGTGAATAAGTTGAAGTTACATCCTTCTAACAGGAAAAGTAACTTTCGTTATCATGGAATTATAACAAAACCTGCCAATTCAATATAAATGGAAAAAAAATATTATATGGAATTGAACGAAAATGAAAATTTGCTTGATAATTCAACTACGCTTGTTGGAGAACAATAAAAACACTACACTCAACAAGCCACCAATAAAACTCAACTGCCTAACCTATAACCAAAGTCTCCTTTTAATTTGTTTTTTAAAAAAAGCGCTTGACAAACTTGCCCCGTGTGCCGAAGTTGCCCCGGTCTCCCCTATACTTTAAGAGAATTTATTTGTTTTTACGTTGTTATTAAATATCAGATTTTAAGATATAGTTGAGTTAATATGTTTGTTTAAACCAACTTTGTTTTGATAGAATTCTATTTTTAAAAGTAACCTATAAAAAAAATTAGTTATTCTTCTTATTTTCCAACTAACTCTACAAAGAAATGTTAATAAAATTCACTCAAGTTTATTTAATTTAAAATTGATAAAAAAAATTACGTGTTTTGAAATAATATTTACATTTTCCATTTCAATTATATCAATAAATAAGAAAATTTTATAATTAATATATACTATATCAATTATTAGTATAAAATTTGAGTTTGTTTCTTTAGGAATCGTCAGTCAAGAATTGATGAGTCAACTGATCCTGAAATTACTAATATTCTTACTTTGGGTGAAGCTGAAGATATCTTTATTGCTGTGTTGTTACCACTTCATCAACCGGGAAGTAACGCATTGGATTGTAGTACTAATATTAAACCGGAAACCGTGGAAGAATTAGAAGCAGTTCTTTGGAGTATTAATCTGATCAACTCTAATATCACGTATCTTCCAGGAATAGACCTTGGAGTGGTAGTGATAGATACTTGTTCTTCTCCTCTTCGATTAACTCATCAATTGGTTACCTACTTATCTGATAAAACAGATGTCAATGCTAAAGTCAAATTGGAATCTGTAATCGGAGTTATCTCCATAGGAGAAACAAAAGAATTAGAAGCTGCCTCAATGGTTTTATCATCACTCAATATCACTTCTGTTACTCCAGATGCAAGAGGTGAAAAGAGAGATGTTTATGACCTTCAAGTAAGATTTTCACATTATACATATTATTTCTAGAACAAATAAATTTAATTTTTAATAAATTAAAAAATTTAAAAATTAAGAAATAGAAACAATATTAAATTAAAAAGAAAAAACTTGCAAGGGCTCTTACTCGACTTTCATGGCACTCGAACAAGAATGTTAAAGGCACCTGTTGTACGAGTCACTTAGATTTTACAAATATGTGAGCNATATTAGGATATAAAATTTAAACAATAACAAAACTTAAGAGGAGCAATTTAATTAAATTGTAAGAAATATCTTTATTTTAAAAAAATATTTAAACTTAAAAAACACTAAGACACATTAGCACAATGTTAAAATTGTATGTGGAGCTATCTGTTATGAGATTTTATTTAAAAAATCATTTTTATATTATTAATTATTATAAAATGGCAAAAGGCTTAATTTTGAGAATAGAGATCCTCAAAATTGTAGATGAATTGTAAATGTGAATAACGAGTAAAATTTTTATTAAGTCTGATTTTACTCAAGATGAAACATGACTTCGTCTATCTTCCCATCCTCTTGACTTTTAATTATCAAAATTTAATAGAATCAATACCCATATATAGAAATAATCCTGCCAAGTTTCAAAATATTTGACAGATCCAGTCCTGAGATATAATACGAAATATACACCCTACCACATACACATATATAAGTTGTTCTCCTACATATACAAATTCCATAAGTTTTTTTTTTTTTTAGATTTTTAGGGTTCTTGTGTGTCAAGACGTTGAGAAATGGAAGAAAACTATGAGTCAAAATTGACCAGTTATCATGCTTTTCATATGTTGTATTCTATACAAGTATACAATATAGGAAAATGGTGACTGGTCAATTTTGCCAACAAACTAATAATTTAATGATAATTTAATTTTATAAAAATAAATATTTATATTTACCTTGAGTTAGTTTATATTATTCTGTAATGCGAAAATGCGATCAAACTCAATCAAATATTTTAAATTTAAATTTATAAGTTTTGAATATAAAATTTGATTAACACATTACAATTTTTAATACAATAAATCAATTAATTAATCAACTAAGAAAATATTTTAGTAACATAATATTTCATTTGTTCTCTGTATATCATTTAAAATTTCAATTAATTTTTCATGAAACATTTTCAGAGGATTGAAAATGTATGATTGAAGAAATTTATAAAATTTAATAACATTTGGAAAAAACAAATGAATACACTCAACAGGATAAAATATTTTATGCTGTGCTGTTTTTAAATTAAAATTCTCACATTCCTACATTTACAGAATGTTAATGTTTTTATTTTATTTTTCATATTTTCAAAAGTTTCCGAAAATTATAATTTTTAGATCTAAAACATAAAATTATTGTCAGTTGGATGATTTGAAACACATATATCAATAATTATAATGGTCATCTTGAAATGATTTATTAGTAAAAATTAATGGGTTAATAATTCTCGGGAAATTATTTTCATATATTCATTAATGCAGATTTATCATACTTTTAATACAAAACAATTCTGATAAAATAAGAAATGAATAATTTTAAAAATTTTTAATTATTCGTTTTTTATATAAAAATATAGTTTTTAAATAATATATCTATCTTCTTAAATAAAATGATGTATTTGACTGATATTCAATAATAATGTAATAAAAGAAATTTCCTTTATTTTCAAAAGCTATTTTTTGAAAATACAATTACTTTTATAATAAATAAACTAAAATTTACGATTTCAGTTTCAAGTTGAGCGTTACAAACTGATGTATTTTAATGAATTTTTTTATATTATTCTTCAACTAATGACTGAAGTGTAACATAATATATAACCTATTGTTACATTTAACTTCCTCTGGGAAAAAATAATTTCTTTGAACCAACCTAATAAAATAAGTTATAAAGTGAAATATAATAGAACGATAAAGAAACTTAAAAAAATTACTGAATACTGAAATGAATATAAACATAATTTTTTAATAAACTTTATTCTTTATTTTTATGGATATATGAAAATATGCTTCAGCTTGAAAATTTATTAAAATATTAAATATTTTCCATTTTGAAAAATTTTTATTTTTTTTTAAATTATCGAGAAAGAAGTTAATCTGTTTGACGATAAAAATACTTTGATAACTCCAAGATTAATTTATAGTGCACACAGGATGGTCAGGAAGTCAGTTAACTGAGATATATTTTAAGCATTGTTTTAAGAATTAGTTTGAAATAGCTGCATTCTTGATTTAGAAGCTTCATTATCTCGGTTATCTAACTTTTGGACTATACTATTTATAATTTTGTAACATTTGACTAAATTAGATTATAATTATATTTTAACAAGCATTTTTTAAATGATAAAGAACAAGTGTCGATACAAAATAACTGACAAATAAATTATTGTAGATAAAAAGAAAGAAAACAAATTAAAAAATCGTAACAAGAAATGTATAAAACAGGATTTCAGAATACGAAAATTTACGAAAAGTTAAACAACTAGAAAAACCTGATTTGAAAATAACTCCGAAACTCGAAATACTAGAATCAGCTAAAATATTAGTGAAAATATCAAAATCTGTTAAAAGATAAGCAATATTTTTTCAATTTTAACATTATTAAATGATAATTTCCACGAAATGTGATAGCTCTATTCTAAGTTAACATCAAGACAGAATTAAATTTTGCGTGAAAAATATTNAATAATAATAATAATAATAAATATGAGTTGTGAATATAATGAAACATATTTTAAGAATATCTATTTTATATTTAGTTGTTACTTTTGAAAAAATTAATAAATAATACTAGATATTAATGTGAATTGATAAATCATCGCATTACGTATTTGCCAAACATTTAACAGTTCCATGAACTTTTATTTTAACCAACAGAAAAGTAGAAACTGAGTAATCAAGTGATTTCAGTAAAATGTAAAAACTGGTATTTCTTCAAAATAGTTATTAAAAATCTTATTCAAATCTTTTTAATTTACCTGTAATTTACTCCTATTATTTATACAATAACAGTCAAAACACGGCTCATGTGCTGCAAAGCAGTTCTCGAATGATAATAGTGCAGCTCTTACAGAACATCTAAACACTTAAAAATTTTTAAATACATAAAGTAGTGACATCTTTAAAAACGAGAAAAGTAATATGTTAGGATGTTTACAATCGTTAGATCTAGTATATTGCTTAAATACAATTAATAAATATAGGGGAGACCGGGGCAAGATCGGCATGTTAAGCTTTACTTAAATTTTGTGTAATAAATACTGCTGTAAACTGAAAAAAAAGCTTTGCATATTGTCTATTGGAATGTTACCTTACTATAGAACTGGTTAAAATCAGTTTGGAAATAAAAATAATTAAAATAATTACAACTTTACAAGAAGAGAGAAATTGACGAAGTTGCCCCGGGTATAGGGGCAAGATCGGCAACTTCTCTCTTTTTGTAAAGTTGTAATTATTTTAATTATTTTTATTAAAGTTGCCCCTGGTATAGGGGCAACAGTAATGGGGCAAGATAGGCACGTATATAAAATTATGTTATTAACAATGTATAAGTTGGAATTCACTATTAAAACAAAGAAATACAAATCCAACACCCATTTAATATTATTACAACGAAATGCAAGTTCAAAGACATATATACATGAATAACAAATGCAAACATGTTTTCATTTATCATCTGTTTGATTTTTATCCTTTGCTTCTAATGTGGCTTTATGTTGCCGATCTTACCCCGCTAGTCATGATTTCGAAACATTAAGTACAACCCTGAGAACAGAATGCCAAGCCACGATCTGGCCACGTGAATAAGTTGAAGTTACATCCTTCTAACAGGAAAAGTAACTTTCGTTATCATGGAATTATAACAAAACCTGCCAATTCAATATAAATGGAAAAAAAATATTATATGGAATTGAACGAAAATGAAAATTTGCTTGATAATTCAACTACGCTTGTTGGAGAACAATAAAAACACTACACTCAACAAGCCACCAATAAAACTCAACTGCCTAACCTATAACCAAAGTCTCCTTTTAATTTGTTTTTAAAAAAAAGCGCTTGACAAACTTGCCCCGTGTGCCGAAGTTGCCCCGGTCTCCCCTATACTTTAAGAGAATTTATTTGTTTTTACGTTGTTATTAAATATCAGATTTTAAGATATAGTTGAGTTAATATGTTTGTTTAAACCAACTTTGTTTTGATAGAATTCTATTTTTAAAAGTAACCTATAAAAAAAATTAGTTATTCTTCTTATTTTCCAACTAACTCTACAAAGAAATGTTAATAAAATTCACTCAAGTTTATTTAATTTAAAATTGATAAAAAAAATTACGTGTTTTGAAATAATATTTACATTTTCCATTTCAATTATATCAATAAATAAGAAAATTTTATAATTAATATATACTATATCAATTATTAGTATAAAATTTGAGTTTGTTTCTTTAGGAATCGTCAGTCAAGAATTGATGAGTCAACTGATCCTGAAATTACTAATATTCTTACTTTGGGTGAAGCTGAAGATATCTTTATTGCTGTGTTGTTACCACTTCATCAACCGGGAAGTAACGCATTGGATTGTAGTACTAATATTAAACCGGAAACCGTGGAAGAATTAGAAGCAGTTCTTTGGAGTATTAATCTGATCAACTCTAATATCACGTATCTTCCAGGAATAGACCTTGGAGTGGTAGTGATAGATACTTGTTCTTCTCCTCTTCGATTAACTCATCAATTGGTTACCTACTTATCTGATAAAACAGATGTCAATGCTAAAGTCAAATTGGAATCTGTAATCGGAGTTATCTCCATAGGAGAAACAAAAGAATTAGAAGCTGCCTCAATGGTTTTATCATCACTCAATATCACTTCTGTTACTCCAGATGCAAGAGGTGAAAAGAGAGATGTTTATGACCTTCAAGTAAGATTTTCACATTATACATATTATTTCTAGAACAAATAAATTTAATTTTTAATAAATTAAAAAATTTAAAAATTAAGAAATAGAAACAATATTAAATTAAAAATAAAAAACTTGCAAGGGCTCTTACTCGACTTTCATGGCACTCGAACAAGAATGTTAAAGGCACCATTGGAAAATTAAATAATTTTCAATTATATTAGGATATAAAATTTAAACAATAACAAAACTTAAGAGGAGCAATTTAATTAAATTGTAAGAAATATCTTTATTTTAAAAAAATATTTAAACTTAAAAAACACTAAGACACATTAGCACAATGTTAAAATTGTATGTGGAGCTATCTGTTATGAGATTTTATTTAAAAAATCATTTTTATATTATTAATTATTATAAAATGGCAAAAGGCTTAATTTTGAGAATAGAGATCCTCAAAATTGTAGATGAATTGTAAATGTGAATAACGAGTAAAATTTTTATTAAGTCTGATTTTACTCAAGATGAAACATGACTTCGTCTATCTTCCCATCCTCTTGACTTTTAATTATCAAAATTTAATAGAATCAATACCCATATATAGAAATAATCCTGCCAAGTTTCAAAATATTTGACAGATCCAGTCCTGAGATATAATACGAAATATACACCCTACCACATACACATATATAAGTTGTTCTCCTACATATACAAATTCCATAAGTTTTTTTTTTTTTTAGATTTTTAGGGTTCTTGTGTGTCAAGACGTTGAGAAATGGAAGAAAACTATGAGTCAAAATTGACCAGTTATCATGCTTTTCATATGTTGTATTCTATACAAGTATACAATATAGGAAAATGGTGACTGGTCAATTTTGCCGACAAACTAATAATTTAATGATAATTTAATTTTATAAAAATAAATATTTATATTTACCTTGAGTTAGTTTATATTATTCTGTAATGCGAAAATGCGATCAAACTCAATCAAATATTTTAAATTTAAATTTATGTTTTGAATATAAAATTTGATTAACACATTACAATTTTTAATACAATAAATCAATTAATTAATCAACTAAGAAAATATTTTAGTAACATAATATTTCATTTGTTCTCTGTATATCATTTAAAATTTCAATTAATTTTTCATGAAACATTTTCAGAGGATTGAAAATGTATGATTGAAGAAATTTATAAAATTTAATAACATTTGGAAAAAACAAATGAATACACTCAACAGGATAAAATATTTTATGCTGTGCTGTTTTTAAATTAAAATTCTCACATTCCTACATTTACAGAATGTTAATGTTTTTATTTTATTTTTCATATTTTCAAAAGTTTCCGAAAATTATAATTTTTAGATCTAAAACATAAAATTATTGTCAGTTGGATGATTTGAAACACATATATCAATAATTATAATGGTCATCTTGAAATGATTTATTAGTAAAAATTAATGGGTTAATAATTCTCGGGAAATTATTTTCATATATTCATTAATGCAGATTTATCATACTTTTAATACAAAACAATTCTGATAAAATAAGAAATGAATAATTTTAAAAATTTTTAATTATTCGTTTTTATATAAAATATAGTTTTTAAATAATATATCTATCTTCTTAAATAAAATGATGTATTTGACTGATATTCAATAATAATGTAATAAAAGAAATTTCCTTTATTTTCAAAAGCTATTTTTTGAAAATACAATTACTTTTATAATAAATAAACTGAAATTTACGATTTCAGTTTCAAGTTGAGCGTTACAAATTGATGTATTTTAATGAATTTTTTTATATTATTCTTCAACTAATGACTGAAGTGTAGCATAATATATAACCTATTGTTACATTTAACTTCCTCTGGGAAAAAATAATTTCTTTGAACCAACCTAATAAAATAAGTTATAAAGTGAAATATAATAGAACGATAAAGAAACTTAAAAAAATTACTGAATACTGAAATGAATATAAACATAATTTTTTAATAAACTTTATTCTTTATTTTTATGGATATATGAAAATATGCTTCAGCTTGAAAATTTATTAAAATATTAAATATTTTCCATTTTGAAAAATTTTTATTTTTTTTTAAATTATCGAGAAAGAAGTTAATCTGTTTGACGATAAAAATACTTTGATAACTCCAAGATTAATTTATAGTGCACACAGGATGGTCAGGAAGTCAGTTAACTGAGATATATTTTAAGCATTGTTTTAAGAATTAGTTTGAAATAGCTGCATTCTTGATTTAGAAGCTTCATTATCTCGGTTATCTAACTTTTGGACTATACTATTTATAATTTTGTAACATTTGACTAAATTAGATTATAATTATATTTTAACAAGCATTTTTTAAATGATAAAGAACAAGTGTCGATACAAAATAACTGACAAATAAATTATTGTAGATAAAAAGAAAGAAAACAAATTAAAAAATCGTAACAAGAAATGTATAAAACAGGATTTCAGAATACGAAAATTTACGAAAAGTTAAACAACTAGAAAAACCTGATTTGAAAATAACTCCGAAACTCGAAATACTAGAATCAGCTAAAATATTAGTGAAAATATCAAAATCTGTTAAAAGATAAGCAATATTTTTTCAATTTTAACATTATTAAATGATAATTTCCACGAAATGTGATAGCTCTATTCTAAGTTAACATCAAGACAGAATTAAATTTTGCGTGAAAAATATTTCAATAGCTTATACATAATTCTGTAATTTATGTATATGTATATACAATAAATATGTTTATATTAAAGACTAAGTTTTTCAGAATAATTAATTTTTATTTCAGAATCTTTTATTGTCATTTGATATCATTCATTGAATAATATTATTAACTAATTATGTTCTTATTATATTCAGTATTTTTTAAAGAAATTAACTTGCATGGTAGCATATTTAGTCTATAATGAGTTATGAGAAATAAACGAATTATTTTTCATGGTTTTGCAAATGAAATATAATTAAAAGTTTTTAATAATTTATTATTATTTTATTGGATTTAAACTCTAACTATTATCTAATTTATAATCAGATTAATGTTAATTAATTACTGAATTTATAATAAATCTACTTAAAAAATCAGGTTATTTTTTAAATTTTGACAAAACAGTTTTTCTTTTATTAAAATAATTGGTAGAAACATGTTACTTAAGAAATAGTTTAATGATAAGTGTTTCATAATTTGTTTAGAAATAAATGGTTAGTGAAATTTTACGTTGTTGACACAATTATTGTTCATTAAGGTTTTATAATTAAATGAGAACAATTAATGATGTTATGTTATAAAATAATTACAGCATAAAATTTTTGAAACAAAATTTATCAACTGAAAACAGAAAAATAAAATAAGAAAAAACGAAATATTCAAACATTATATGTACTGTACAGTAAATTTATAAGATATTTATATTTATACATACTGTGTGTACATTTATAAACACATAATATATAGGGTAAACATTGGTAAATTCGTTATAAAATTAATTATTCTTTAATTAATTTTATAACAAATTTACCAATGTTTACCCTATATATACCTAATATTTTTCTTCTTAAAATAGAAATCTTTTTGCAAGCATTTATAAAATGATAGTTTACTTAAACGGACAAAATTTTCGAATTTAATATATTCCACTCTATCTGCGAGCAAAATTTTAAATCTCATCTTACATTACTTATTTGATGTAGATGAATTTTAAAAGTATCACGAAGTTACCAGTATCACGGAATTATCAATGTTTACCACCTACATAAGATGTATATAAAGTTATAATTGAATATTTTGTTATATTTTTCATGTTTTAATTTAAAAATTAACTCTTTCAAAATTGTTATATAAACAGAAAATACTGTAATTGTTATATATACAAAAATTAATTACAGTATAATTAATAATGATAATATATTTATATAATATTTACATTAAAAGATGTAGAAGTAATATTAATGTAATATTGATAGTTTGTCTTATATATTTATAAATATTTCTTAAATATTAATGAAATGTTATCGTTCAACCTGCATTATCATTTATAATATTCAGTATAATGTAATATAAGCACGATTATAAATTCAGTTATGCTTGCAGGAGGAGAAATTTGCAAATACTAATTTGACAATCAACAATTGTTATAACTAAGCAGCAACATTCTATAACATGATACTATATAGTAAGATTTCGTTTGCACAATATTCAATGACCATTAACACAGTACATTAAGAAAATGTTTGAACTAGATACTCGCATTGTATTAGGTGAAAATGCTTCATGAAAATTAAATGAAAAAAATACTTTTAATTTTAATTTGAAATTAAATTTTCAATCTTATTTTTAATGGGTTTTGCCGTTTATTTCTGCTGTATTGGAGGCGGCAATTTTTGTCCTTGTGACAACGCCTGTATTAAGAACTAAAAAATAAAAGAATAAAAAATAATAAAGACATTAAATTGTATATATAAAGTATATATACTGTAATAAATATTTCATTTGTACGTTTATTCTTCAGCAAAAAGATATCTTATTTAAACATCAATACTAGTAAAAGAAATGAACACAGAAAAAGCCCGTTTTTCTTTGGTTTTCATTACATGATTTTATATCTTAAATTTTGCTATATTTGCTTCTAATGAAATATATAATTAACTGTACTGAACTGAAATTTAAAGTAGAGCAGATATTGTTCTGTCACTTTTTATTATTTTTTCGTCATTACAAATGATGCAGAAATAGATTAAGGAAGTAGAAATGCTAGCTAATTTAATTGCAAAATTACACATCTGTTGTCCAAAATTTCCAATATTAATAAATAAATAATAAATTGTTTATCAATATACTGGTTAATATAGTTTGTGTTACATACAAAGCTTTTGAAAAAAATTAGACTCGCACGATTTTATTTAAATTTTAATCTCAATATTTTAAAAGTCTCCTCCATGAGATTTTTCTGTTCATTCGGGAAAAAACCTGCTCACTGTAATTTTAGTGTTAAGTTAATTAGATA